TGTTTGTGTTTTTAGATGTTAGTTTCTGCAGATGTTTGTGTTTTTAGTCATTCTTCTGTTTCCGCCTCAGGCTCGGCTTTAGCTGCCAGCGTTTGTAAGAAGATCACGGGTCGATTGACGAGTGCCATCGCCAAACAGGAAGACGTGTCCGTGCAGCTGGAGGCACTGGACATCATGGCCGACATGCTCTGCAGGTACGGAACCGTGTCATTTGCTGATTAAAACCCAAAGGCATGCTGGGAAAATCAGCTGTTGGTGGAGTCGAACTCTTCAGTGCAGCTTCTTCCTGTTTGTGGTGAACTCGGTTGTTTTTTGTTTTTGGACAAATTTCAAAAGAATCTGTTCAACATGTCCAGTTACATCAAAGAAAATCCTGTTTTACCCACAATGCTTCACTCTCTGAGATGTAAACCCATCATGAGTTTATTTTTGTACTTTTCTTACACAAACATTTTAATTTAGACCCGTTTCTTCAGCAGATGGATCAACTCAGACCCGTAACACCGTTTTTATTTTTCAGAGCTTTATATCTTTATATGTATATATATAAATATATATATATATAAATATCTTTATCTTTATGTTTCTGTACTGAAAAACTTAAAACAGCTTTTAGCTATCTTGCAGCTACTATGACTTTTGTTTTTTAATCTACTGTTTTGCTACTTTTAGCTTGTATTTAGCTTTAACCACTCAGTTTTAGCTTGTTCAGCCGTCTTGTTGGCTTCTTTCTTTTGCTCGAGGTGAATTGTTTGTAAATAAGTTTGTTTGTTTGTTTGTGCAGACAGGGCGGTCTGCTGGTGAACTTCCACCCCTCCATCCTCAGCTGTTTGCTCCCTCAGCTCACCTCCCCCAGACTCGCTGTCAGAAAGGTGCGTCTGACCTTTGACCTTGGACACAAAGCGTCTCTTTCTGCCGTCCAGCTGCTGAGTTTAGTCTCCTCCCTGCTTTCAGAGGACCATCATGGCTCTGGGCCACCTGGTGATGTCCTGTGGGAACCTGGTCTTCATCGACCTGATCGAGCACCTGCTGACGGAGCTGGGGAGGAACGACAACATGTCCACCACCAGGACCTACATCCAGTGCACGGCGGCCATCAGCAGACAGGCGGGACACCGGATCGGTGAGACGGAGGAGCAGCGGATGGTTCTACAGTTGGGGGTTTGATCACGAGCTGACCTTTGACCTGTGTGTTCAGGAGAGTATCTGGAGAAGATCATCCCTCTGGTGGTGAAGTTCTGTAACGTGGATGACGACGAGCTCAGAGAGTACTGCATCCAGGCCTTTGAGTCCTTCGTCAGGAGGTGAAACATCACGGAGCCCCACTCCGTTTACTGTTGTTGTTCTGTTGTTTACTTTTGTTTGTTTGTTTGTTTATAGGTGTCCTAAAGAAGTTTACCCCCACGTTCCCACGATCATCTCCATCTGCCTGCGCTACCTGACCTACGACCCCAACTACAACTTTGACGACGAAGACGAGGATGACAACGCCATGGACGCTGAGCAGAACGATGAAGACTACCAGGGTACCCCAAAACCCCAGACGGGTTCTGATCGGTCTGCTGGGTTCAGTTTTATGAGTTGACCTGAAATATATTTTTTATTTTGGTTTAAAGCGGCTGATGAAACCAGGCGAGGCGTTTGAGACTGAACTTCCTGTTTTTCCGTACAGGAAGTGACGACGAGTACAGCGACGACGACGACATGAGCTGGAAGGTCCGGAGGGCGGCGGCCAAGTGTCTAGACGCCGTGGTCTCGACTCGTCACGAGATGCTGCCGGAGTTTTACCGCTCCGTCTCTCCGGCGCTCGTCTGCCGCTTCAAGGTACGCTCAGAACCGTCGCCTCCCGTTCCCGACGCGCAGAATAATCTGAGATAATCTGACCCCGTGTGTTCAGGAGCGGGAGGAGAACGTGAAGGCGGATGTTTTCCACGCCTACCTGTCGCTGCTCAAACAGACCCGGCCGGCTCAGAGCTGGTTGGCTGACCCGGACGCCATGGAGCAGGGGGAGACGCCGCTGACGATGCTGCAGAGTCAGGTGGGAACTCCTCGACGAACGTCTTTAAACCATAAAACCTGAAATCTGGAGAGCGATGGTTCAGATTAACGGCAGATTTCTCCTCCGTTAATAAAAACAGGATTTATTTTTTATGAAGATGTAGAAAGACGGCAGGATCACCAAAACATCCTTAAAGCTGTTCTTTAAAGTGATCCGCAGCGGAGCGGTGTGAGGTTCTGACCTCCAGTAAAAATATGGTTATATGGTGGAAAAACAAAAAAATAAGCTGTTTTTATAATTTTACAAGCTTTAGTTTTAAAAACTAAAATACAAGTACTACAAAAATACAACTGCCTAAATAATGTCACATTTCTTAGTTATGAACATTTTATAGGAATAACAACAAAATAATAATAAATATGTGTCAGAATCACAATGCAGAATTCATCAAGGAAACATAAAAATATATAAATGACAATAAATGAATAAAACAAATATAAGTTGAGTAAAAAGTGTGTGAGCCAAATAAAACTGAATTATTTAAAAACACTTGAGTTGATTTAAAGGGCGTACCTGTGGTCGTTTCTGAGCAGCAGGTGTCGCTCACTTCCTGTTTGTCGCCTGTTTCCCACGCTGACAGGAAACGGCCAGTCAGCTGACAGGAAGTAGAACTCTGACCTTCTCTCTCCGCAGGTTCCCATCATCGTTAAAGCTCTGCACAAGCAGCTGAAGGAGAAAAGTGTGAAAACGCGTCAGTGTTGCTTCAACATGTTGACGGAGCTGGTGAACGTCCTCCCAGGAGCGCTGATCCAGCACATCCCGGTTCTGGTACCAGGTAGTGAAGCTCCGAGCGGCTCCTCTGGTCCGCTTTGGGTTTTACGGGCGGGTAACGAGACGTGGACGTTCGTTTTGTGTTTCAGGAATCATCTTCTCTCTGAACGACAAGTCCAGCAGCTCCAACCTGAAGATCGACGCCTTGGCCTGCCTCCACGTCATCATGGTCTCACACCCCGCCCACGCCTTCCACGCCCACGTCCCCGCCCTCGTTCCACCCGTGGTGGCGTGCGTGGGAGACCCCTTTTACAAGATCACCTCAGAGGCTCTGCTCGTCACCCAGCAGCTCGTTAAGGTGGGAGTCGAACCTGCGACCGCAGCTGGTTTGATGTCGCAGCTGACGTTTGTTTACGTTTGGTCTCCTTCAGGTGATCCGGCCTCTGGATAACCTATCAGAGGGCTCCGACAGCTTTGACCCCTCCCCCTACATAAACGACCTGTTCACCTGTACGATCAAGCGCCTGAAGGCGGCCGACATCGACCAGGAGGTTAAAGAACGAGCCATTTCCTGCATGGGACAGATCATCTGTAACCTAGGTAACCACCACCTGTCAGTCACAGGATGTGATGTCATCAGCTGCAGGTTTTAACTTCCTGATGTGGTTCTGTAGGGGACCGCCTGCCCAATGAGCTCGCAGGAACGCTGCTGATCTTTCTAGAACGCCTGAAGAACGAGATCACACGGCTGACGACGGTGAAAGGTAAGCTCCGCCCCCGGTGACCTTGCAGGAAGGAGGCGGTGCTTCATGGCGTGAAGGATGAGTTGAGGTTTGTGTTTGCAGCGCTGACGCTGATCGCCGGCTCGCCGCTGAAGATTGATCTGAGGCCGGTTCTCCCCGACGCCGTGCCCATCCTCGCTTCCTTCCTGAGGAAGAACCAGCGAGCGCTGAAGCTCGGCACGCTGGCTGCTCTGGACATCCTGCTCAGAAACTACAGGTAACCTCACCTGTTAGCCCTGCCCACCGGTCAGCCCCGCCTCTTCCCTCAGCTCACCGTCTGCCTGTGCTCCTCAGCTCCGCGGTGACCCCCGTCATGGTGGACGCTGTCCTGGCCGAGCTGCCCCCCCTCATCTCAGAGAGCGACATGCACGTGTCTCAGATGGCGCTGAGCTTCCTGTCCACGCTGGCCGTGACCCACCCGTCCTCTCTGGGTCAGCTGAGCGGGGGGAACATCCTGCAGCAGCTCATTGGGCTGGTTCGATCCCCTCTGCTGCAGGGAGGAGCGCTCGCTGCCATGCTGGACTTCTACCAGGTACCGCTGCGGCTCCGCCCTGATCCGATGAGTTGAAGCGGCGCCGTGACCTTCAGCTTTGTCTCTTCAGGCTCTGGTGGCCACAGAAACTCCTGGTTTGGGCTACATGGACCTGCTGAGGATGCTGACGGGTCCGGTCTACTCTCAGAGCGCCGCTCTGCCTCACAAACAGGCGTACTGCTCCATCGCTAAATGTGTGGCGGCGCTGACCCGAGCCTGTCCCACCGAGGGGCCCGCCGTGGTCGGACAGTTTATCCAGGTGAGTGTTCGGACCCAGAACCGGTTTTAACGAGCTCAGAAAAAGATCCATGCAAATCTGTCAAAATAATGAAAGGGTTTGAGAAGGGAAGCGTTTTCAGCCTTCACAATAAAAGCTCAAAGTGAAGCTGTAACTTCCTGTTTGGGTCAGATTTGATCGATCTGTGTTCTCATTAGATTTGACAGGTGGGCGAACATGTAGATCCTCTCAGTCTGTCAGTAAAATATCTCACCACTGGTTGAATTTAATGAAAGTATTTTCTGACTTTAAACTGAACATGACGTCTGACCCGTGTCCCTCGTCTGTGGCCGACAGGACGTGAAGAACAGCCGCTCCACAGACTCCATCCGGCTGCTCGCTCTGCTCTCGCTGGGCGAGGTGGGCCACCACGTGGACCTGAGCGGCCAGCCGGAGCTGAAGACCGTCATCCTGGACGCCTTCTCCTCCTCCAGTGAAGAGGTGACCCTTCAGGGGGCAGTTTGATCTCTAACCTCGTCTCTGTCCCACCTTTGAAGCCTTGGAATTGATCCCCCGGTTCTTTGTGTGTCAGGTGAAGTCGGCGGCGTCATACGCGCTCGGCAGCATCGCGGTGGGGAACCTCCCGGAGTACCTGCCCTTCGTGCTGCAGGAGATCACCTCGTCCAAGAGGCAGTACCTGCTGCTGCACTCGCTCAAAGAGATCATCAGTGAGAGCCGCTCCTCCGCCTGAATGCGCTCGTGCGCGAGCGTGCGTGATGCTAACGCGTTTGTGCGTCTGTGTCCAGGTTCGGCGTCGGTGTCGGGCCTGAAGCCGTACGTGGAGTCGGTCTGGTCTCTGCTGCTCAAACACTGCGAGTGTCAGGAGGAGGGAACCAGGAACGTGGTGGCCGAGTGTCTGGGCAAGCTGACGCTGATCGACCCCGAAACGCTGCTGCCCCGCCTCAAAGGATACCTGCTGTCAGGTGACCGCTGGGACACGCCCCGCAGCTGGGACACGCCCCGCAGCTGGGACACACCCCGCAGCGGGGACACGCCCCGCAGCTGGGACACGCCCCGCAGCGGGGACGTTGAAATGGACCCAAACTTGCTCAAGTTCTCGTCCAGCTGCGTCTATAACGATCCGTCTGTCCACAGGGTCGTCTCACGCCAGGAGCTCCGTGGTGACGGCGGTGAAGTTCACCATCTCTGACCAGCCGCAGCCCATCGACCCACTGCTGAAGAACTGCATAGGTACCAAAACTAGAAAACACAGCTCGGCACCAGAACCTCCCCCTAAAATACAAACTGGACCCGTTCCAGGAAGTCTCCGACGGCCTGGATCTTGATTCGAGTGTTTCTTGGAGGAACCGTTTCTTCACCAGAAAATAAAGTTCACACAAGCCGACCAGTCTGTGCATTTGAAACATTTGAAACATTTGAAACAAGATTTCCTGTTCTGGGTCACAGAGTAAAAACATTTCCAGCTTCCAGGAACTAAATATGGAACAGAATTCATTTTTAGTTCATTAAGTTAAAAAAAAATAAAAAAAAACGTCTTTTAAAGTTTTGCAAACTGAACTGTAAAGAACAAAAAAATAATAATAACGTTATACATTATATATAAATAACTATAATTAAAGTTTAAATAATAAAACTGAAAGAGAATAAAAGTTTTAAAGTCTGAAAGTCTCAAACTTGGTCAGAAGCGTCGTTTTGATTTTTCTGACGTCTTAAATGTTTTCATAGTTCTGAGTTAAATCATCTTTAAATTAATTTTTTAAGAATTTAACTGTTAATGTTCTCAGCTGCAGTGTGTGAGCAGAAACGGTTCTGACCCACCAACTGGTTCTTGTGTCTGACCCACCAACTGGTTCTTGTGTCTCCAGACCGGATCTGATTATCTGAACTCGTCGTGTTTCCTTTTAGAACCAAACGTTGTTTTTAATCTTTTGAGCGTCCAGGTTCTGCCCTCTGATTGGTCGTTTGCTCTCAGGTGACTTCCTGAAGACGCTGGAGGACCCGGACCTGAACGTGCGCCGCGTCGCCTTGGTAACGTTTAACTCGGCCGCTCACAACAAACCCAGTCTGATCCGAGACCTGCTGGACTCGGTTCTACCGCAGCTTTACAACGAGACCAAAGTGAGGAAGGAGCTGATCCGAGAGGTGAGGACGACCGCCGCGTGTCCCCGATCTGCAGGTGGGCGGGGCTCGGCCGACTCACGGTTGTACCGGTTCTGTGCAGGTGGAGATGGGTCCGTTCAAACACACGGTGGACGACGGGCTGGACCTGAGGAAGGCTGCGTTCGAGTGCATGTACACCCTGCTGGACAGCTGCCTGGACCGACTGGACATCTTCACCTTCCTGAACCACGTGGAGGACGGGCTGAAGGACCATTATGACATCAAGGTCCATTTACAGTCCAGATGGGGTGGGCGGGGGTGGGGTGTCTCAGCAGCTGGAATCTGAGTTCTTACTACTGCTCTTTGTTGGGTTCTAGATGCTGACGTTCCTGATGCTGGCCAGACTGTCGTCACTTTGTCCCAGCGCTGTCCTGCAGAGACTGGACAGACTGGTGGAGCCGCTGAGAGCCACCTGCACCACCAAGGTACCAGAACCACGAATCTGCTGCGGCTGATTCATCCAGGTCACGGCAAATCCACAAAAAAACCCAAAAATAAATAAATAAAAAACAACTGGACGTCAAAGACCACGAGGGGGGAAACGTGCCAGGAGACAGAGGGACAAGAGGAAAGTCAAGAATGTAGGACTGAGGGGGGTGGCAACTCTAATGTGGGGACAATGACAGACAAAGGTAGAAAGCTGGCTGACATGATGCTGAGAAGGAAGGTAGAGAGCTGGCTGACA